GCATCATTTCTACGGTATAAATTGGGCCACGGTTGAGAGCACAAAGGCGTTATCCTTCGTTTTTGATTTGAAGAAAAATTTTATAATCTGCAGTAGAAGTGGAAGCGAAAAAGGATCGCAGCAAACATTGGCTGCAAAACGGCTATTTGTTTTCAGAGTTGCACAAAAACGAGGCACCGGAAGATGACGTGAGGGATCTGCTAAATAATGTAAGCCAAGGAAAATGATTTGGTGTGGAGGAGAAAGAATAAAGATTCTCTGTGCTAGTCGATTCCGCTTTAGGGCGAGCACACGATTCGACTTTCATTCAGAACATAGTTTCATCTGAACCCTAGAAGCCTATACAACGATCTGCTCGGGCCAGCCATGTTAGTACAAGCCGGGGCGGTTACCCTCCCAAACCAATTAGGTTTCAGATACGGAGCCCTGGATGATGGCGAGGTTCTGTGGATTGGACCACTCTAGGAGTCGATTCTCCGACCATACGAGTTGTAGCCTCACCGAGTACAGGGAACTGAATTAATTCAAAAAACCTTGATCGCCTCTCCAGCATTTTCCTTTGATTTCTATCAAAGGCTGGGAATGTGTAGCGAAGGTGTTTTTAGAAGTAAACGAGTAAATGGATGACTAATACAGTAATTTCGCCTTTTGTTTTTGGTGAAGCTAATGCTTGTATTATTACTTTTATAATCATATTTACATGGTTGATTTTGGTCAATCTCATCTGAAATTTCCACGGAAAGAAGAAATAGCGTGCTAATAGATAAACTTCTTCATGATGGCTAGAAATCCCCTAACAAACAAAGAGAATTGAATAGAAGTCCAATAAGATTCTCAACGCTTCGGTACACAACCATTGATGCGTTCATAGTCTGTCTGCCTAGATTTTCTACCAAATAAGGAATAATCGGGAAGGGAAATGGAACGACAACTGATCTAAGGCAGAGTTTTTGAAGGATGGCTCTGTTTGAAGAAAGTGAATTTGCTAAATCTTGAAGGCAATTTCAGAACAATTTTCTGACGATACTTTGGAAAAACTCTCGAAAGTCAAGCTAAAACCCTCTCAGGAAAGTTTGACGGAAAAAAATGTGCAAGGAATATCGGAACCGCCCAGGAAATTCACAAACTCCGCCTCCTAGACTCCACCCGCCAAATGAGCTGAGTAAGATTGAGCAGTCCATCTACTAATTATGATAAATTGGACAAATTTGACAAAGCTGTGCCAGTTTTGCTCCCCAGTTTCCAGAACAGCACGGATTTCCCTAAACGCTTTACCTCTCTGAACTAGAGTACCCGAATGAGTGGGTTCTGCTCTCAGTACCATAAAATCTGAAGTGGTAGTGAATAAAATAGATGAATAAGAAAAAGGAGAAGCTGGGTGAATTCTGTAGAAAAGCGTCATTACCACTGCGTCTGCAATCTCAGAGAAAATCGAACTACAGTAACAGGATTGGCAACATCTCAGATGCCTACAGTACTCGCTCAGAGATAACTTTAGCTGTAAGCTGTTTATTCAGAAAACTTTGAAAAGGATTAGTAGGCGTAGACTATTTGTCACTTAAAAGGCTTAGCTAAGCAGGCCCAGACCTAATTCCTTCAATGGCCATTATCTACCCTAAGTCCGTGAAACTCGGTTAGTGCAATACACTTCAGAATCTTTTGGAATCTTTTGAAGAGCTGGGAAAATGCTTGAAATGGAAATTCCGTGGAAGTCTCTGACTTCGAAAATGTCCACTCGAAGTTCCTGAAAGAAGATGGGTTTTCTTGAGGTTTAGGCAAAAGGAACTGAAATGCTGAACACCTCCCAGAAATTCCCAACCGACTAAAGAAAAAAAGAGAAGTGGAAGTGGAAGGAAGATTCCCCTCTTTACATTTGCCTGATGCGGGTGGTTCTACTCCTTTCAATGTACTACAACAACAGAGAACCAAACAAGTCATGTAGAAGCGGAACCTCTAGCCACGGCCCTATACATATCTTCTCTACTTTTCCCTGAAATTTTCAGGGTACTTATAGCAAGATCCATTTCAAGGCTATCAGCAACTAAGTGAGCTAGGGAAAAACACTCTGGTACATCAGCTCCTCGGATAGACGAGCTGGAGCTTTGTTTATGATGTGAACGGTGAAGATAGCCAACAGCTCTCCTGGGACCAACAGGAAAATATCGCTCATCCCGTCAGAAAAATGAGGAAGGGGGGATCAATGTACTTCGATGCTGAAGAGGGACTAACTTCAGCTACATATAATACACGGGCAGGTTGGCGTGCCGGCAAGGGTTGTACGCCTTACTTGGCTCATTGCAGGGTCAGTGCTAGGTTGGACCCGTTCTTCGGAATCATTGAAGAACTGGCATCCAAAGTTCTGTCCATCACACTAGCGTGTGAGCTTTTACGCTTTTCAAGAGTCTATCTCCACATTTTACAACTATTCTGCAGTATGTTTCCCTTCCGATAGTAAAGCAGGTCATGTTGGGGTTCTGAGAGGTACTTTATCAGTACTCACTTCTCTTACCTTCCCTCCGTGGAAGCTTGTCATACTCTCAAATGGCAAAAGGGCAGTGAAGGAGTATAAGCAAACTTTTTCCGAGGTCATTCTCGAATCAGTTTGACTTCATCCGAGGGTGGGGTGGTGTATTGCAGTGCCCTATTACATACATGGAATGGGGCTCAAATTACGGACTTATCATGCCAAAGTATGCAAAGCCGGTCATCCTGGTCCCTTACGGTGGGCTAATTGGCACCAGATTTGTCTTCAAGAATAAAAGTACTGACTTCTACATCGACTGGCCATCGCAAGTCACTGCATGGAAGACATAAGCATTCACTACGTCCTACAATTCACAACAACAACAAAAACAACAGCACACACATACACACAACTGGATGGAAGTCAAAGCGCGGCGTGCATTCCCAAAAGAGGCTAGCGCCAGAAGGTTTCAGCCTATTACCCTGTGATTTTAGCTTGTCCCATAAATAAATCAGTAAATGAACATGGGGAATTAGCCCGACTAACTTCATCGAATAGAAGAGAAAATACTCAAAATTAGTTGTGAATTTGAAGAGTGTTAAGAGCTGACTTGAAGAAAAAAAAA